ATTCGAAATAGAAATAAGATCCAAAAAACATTGCAAAATGTTAGATAGTATAGATAACTCAATAAGTATGTCTCTACGTCTCAATACGTCTACTCAATTACTTCAAACGACACGGCAACCACCAGGTCAAAACACGAACAGCAGACCAAGCTTCTACATCGTGAAACGACGCAAACTGTAATGATTATTTCTTTTCAAAGTTCTCAATGCAGTAAACTTTCATTCTCTCACAATAAATAAAAGTTACTTGTAAATTTCATTCTCAAGCCATGTACTTCCTAATGATCTATAAACATATTTTAAACATAATAACAAATTCAAATACTTAAGTCGTTCTTTTCTTCAAATCTGCATAATTTTAAAATTTTTGTGAAGTAAAATTGATTAAATAAAAAACACGAAAATTAGTTATTAGTTAAATTGAAATTTTTTTAAAATTTATAGAAGTTACTTGCTTCTCAAAGACTTGTATTCCCACTCTTTCATAGCTAATGCTTCTTTGTTTCTTCATCTAAAACATAACCATAATCAACTAGAAATAAAAATCGTTTAATTTTCTAACTTTTAAATCAATCCTTAATTCATAACTTTTCCTTAAACTTAAATCTTCAGCTGAAACATTACCAAGGCATATCCTTGTTTGTCAAATATCTAAGTTTTCCCTAAACCAGATCATCAAGGCTATCCTTGGATCTTAAATTTTGGACTTCAATCTAATTTTTAATTCACCTACAAGATATTTGATCATCAAGGCTTCCCTTGGATCAAACGGAACAAAATTGTTCTCCCCACCTCCTAGTAAAAAATGTCTAACGACCTCAAACGTCGATGCACTCTCCAACTCTTATCAACGACCCAAGACTAACAGAATTTTTTGAAAAACTAACCATTTTAATAAAGATAAACAGTGAAGAGTTTCGGTTATTCATCCTTCACTTGAGCCCCTTTTCCTAGCTGACCCAGGCTAAAACACATTATAAGTTTAGTAAGATCTTTGAAAGTATCTAACGATCTACTTGTGTACTAGTTATACCTAAACTTGTGGATTGAATGACGTTTGAGCTTGTTTTCATCAATTTGCTGGCTTTGATGGAGATAAAAATGCGCAAAAACACAATTCAGTATAAAGTGGACTTAATCCCACGTTTCCCACGTAAGACTTAATCCCACGTAAGACACTTTTCAAAGTTGGCTGTTTTTCCCAGTATGCTGAAACTGCAAAACGCCAACCCTGCATCAGAGACAAGTTAGTCTTGAATTGACAATAAATTTTTCAGCGCTAATGACGTTTCAAATGACATTGATCGTAACCTGAATCCGCGATGAATGACTCTGATTTTTTTTCTATCAGGGATTTATGATTTTCAAAAGTTGTCAATTTTTAACATTTGAAGATCATCAACGTGACCAGACTAGAAAGACCAGTCAGGCTTTCTGAATCGCCATGAACAACAAATTGTTCACCTTTCGAGAAATCACAATGAGCTATGTTTTAACTGAATTTGCATTTTTGACTTTGTTTCTAAAAACAAAATGAATAGCAATTGACTTTCAGACTTTCAGAAAAAAACTCTCAAAAAAGAGACAGAAAAAGTAACGCTCATAACTATTTTTTTGAAAAAAAACAAAGTGAAAAAATTTATATCACATCGTTATTTATCAATTCTAATTTCAAAACTTGTGGTTCAGCTTTTAAATAAACAGCCAAAAACAAGTTTCAGTGGGAACTTCCGAACCAATATTGTACTCGATTTCATAAAATTTTCTTTTGAAATTATGTTGAAATAGCAAGAACGTTGTATAGTTCACGCGTAAATCCAGATACTCGTTTTTTTGTTGTTGTTTTTGTTCTTTATTGCAGCTCCGTTTAAAATAATCTCTTCTTAAAGAATCAATTATCAATTTTTCGTTCAATTTTTTATCGAATTGGATCCAATTTAAGATCTGTAAATTTTTCTTTGAAGTTATAAATTTTTATATTTTGTAGCTCAAATGTGGTTCTTACTTCTTCAAACTTTGTTTGTTTTCAAACGATTCGCAAAAAAAATTATGCAAAATTTCTAAATCTTTCATCATGGTTTGATTTGCAGTGCTTCAAATAAAAACAGCAGATTGATACATGAGTTAAATATATTGCATGAAATTTTGAAAAAAAAACTTTTTATCTTTAAATTTCTTTTGTTGATTAGTTTCCAGGTTACTTCTACTTGGAATAACAACAATGGACATTTTCCTCTTTAAAAAAATTTGACACCTGTGTACTAATATGGGAATCTGACCAAATAGTTACGCACTGACCTTTGAAATCTCCTGCCGTTCAACTCAATCAGTTTTGGACTGTTTCAGAAATTTTAACTTGTCCAGAATCTTCAGCCATTGCCCGTACTGAAGTTTTAAAATAAATTTAAATCTGAACATCGAAATTTCATACAACTTTCAGACCTGTATCAGTCCTGTGGCAAGTCTCTTTTTCGCTGTACATGTCTGAGTCAGACATGTACAGGTATGATAACTATAGAAAAAAGTCAGGTATGATCATGTCTGCTTCAGGTCTGGTCCAGGTATGATCAGGCCTGTCCCAGGTATATTTCAGATCTGACTTTACATGATCATACCATGACCAGATATGATCATAGCTGAACCAGACATGATCATACCTGGACCAGACATGATCATACCTGAAGCAGACATGATCATACCTGACTTTACATTATCATACCTGGACCAGACATAATCAAGCCTGAAAATGCATGATAAGACCTGAAGCAGACATATCATTATGGTATTGAAGACCGGGACAATCCATGAGTCAACCGAAGCAAGCTTCGGTGTTAACTCGAGAAGCAAAAATCAGTTTAATATTGGTTCCAGGCAATGCCCAGCATGCCAGATATTAAGCTGACAAAAACAAATACTATTTATGATGCTAGCCAAAAGGCCGAGAAACGATAACTGAAACAAAGGATCTTTTTTCTTCATGCCTCAGACACAACAAAAAAACAACAGCTCGGACCATAAAACTTTTAAACTATCCGATTGGATTGGGAGCTAGGTCGCTCCCAAAACAATTCATACAAGATCAAGGTAAATATTTAAAAATAGGCAGTCATTATGATTCTTTGCCTTATAAAAATACCCTGCCGGCTTGTAATTTTATCGTAAGACTTCAGTGGACTACGTTATAACCATCTGTGTTACTGCCGTTACATGGCGATAAGTTTTCTATATGATCAGACCTGAAGCAGTTATAGTCATGTCTGACCAGGTATAGTCTTGTCTGACTCAGGTATAGTCATGTCTGACCAGGTATAGTCTTGTCTGACTCAGGCAGGTATAGTCATGTCTGACCATATAGTCCTGTCTGACCAGGTATAGTCATGTCTGACCAGGTATAGTCTTGTCTGACCGGGTATAGTCATGTCTGATCAGGTATAGTCATGTCTGACTCAGGTATAGTCTGCAAACGGCAGAAAGGATCACATATGAAAGAGATATGCACAGAGCTGGAAAGCAGCTAGTGTCTGACAATTGTTTGATCAGACGTGAAATTGTGAGGAAAGTTCGGTACGGGTGGGTCTACTTTAGCCATGAAACAGTCTTTTCCGCACTAATAAAATAGAATTCAGATCGATTCAAATTGATAAGGAATAAATACAAAACTGGTCGTATCAGGGCGAAGCCCTGAAAGATCAGACTGCCTTTTGAGGTCTATGGAGCATTAGTAACAGAAAAAAACTAGATGTAATAAAATAAAATGAAATTTTTTTTCTAAAAATATTTTTTAAAATGAAATGATCTCCCCACACGCCATATAAAGTACAAAAGAATAGATTTCGCTCATTGTAACAAATCAATTATGGCAAATAAGCTTCTTTCAACCAATTTGGAACGATTTCTCAGACGGATTAAATCTCCGCTTACGCGTTAACAGCGCGAAATATATGGCGCGTTAATTGTCCCAAATCGGCCAAAATGACAATCTTTAAACGCCCATAACTTGACGAAACATGATCAAAGTTGAAATATCTTTTCAAATTTAAACTCAAGACAACAATATTTTTTGAATGATAAAAAAAAATTTTGTCAAAAATGGCTAGTTAAAAAGTCGAAATTTGTCTGAAGGAAAAAACCCACCCCGAGCACCAATATTCGGTTACTTTCGTATCAAAAGTCGGGACAAAAAATCAGTTCAAATTGCTTAGCGATGCATATTTTACAAATTCAAGTGGCTTTTGAATCGATTTAAAATGATCTTGAAAAATTTGAATCATATTAAGTGTCTAAAAACGGTTTTAAATCTAATTGGATGGACTTGGTAGTTATAGCTTAAATCCACCCAAATCTTGCCAAAACCACTTTAATCAATTTTAAAAGAACCTGAGCAGGTTTTTTATAGACTAAAACTGATCACAAATATTCGTTACTTTCGTATTGAAAGTCGGAACAATAAATCAGTTCAAATTGCTTAACGATGCATATTTTACGAATTCAAGTGGCTTTTAAATCGATTTAAATTGATCTTGAAATTTTTGAATCAATTAAGTGACTAAAAACGGTTTTAAATCAAATTGGAAGGACTTGGTAGTATTAGCTTAAATCCACCCAAATCTTGCCAAAACCATTTTAATCAATTTTAAAAGAACCTGAGCAGGTTTTTTTGTAGACTAAAATTAATCTCAATTTAATTTACATACTTTTTTCAAAGCAAAATCAAATTTATTTGAGTTTTGGCAGTGTGTGTTAACCCTCTGAAAACTAAAAAGCCTCTTCTGACTCTTGAAGATCAATGAACTAGTGCAAATGTTCCCAGAGCAATCTACTCGACCTTTCTCCAGCAGAATAACCAAAGGTGAAATCCGCTATAAAAAACCTATTTCACCTTTAATCCACATTTTTTAACCGCTGTACCATCGCACCACTAAGGTAAAAGCGTATACTTTTTATTATGCATTTTCCATTTTATCCCAAGCCTGCGTTTTCTTTTATATTTCTTCCATATACTTGGAAAATAACGCGAATATTTTATACAGCACACACCAACAACCAACGCAAGCAACGCTTTCAAACATGGTGAACTAAATTGTAATGTGCCGTATTCAGTTGGAAAATAGGAATGGAGTAAATTTCGCGTGTGGATATTCAGTTATTTTCAGCTACCAACGCAGTATGTGTCACTTACATGGCAGATTTTACCTGCTTTGGTGGTTGTTTTTATTTAAATGTTACCCCAAAAATGCCTCAGATCGGCTTAACCTTTGAACTAAATTTGTCCCCAGAGGTTGCTTCACACGAACTAAATGAAAAATTGAAAAAACATTGTCATATATTTGCTGCCAAAGAGTTCATTTTTTGAAATTCATTTCCATTTTTGTGAGTTTGTGAAACAATTGCTTAAATAAATTTTTAAAAATTTTTCTTCCAACAGTTTATTAAGTTTTTACGTTCCCGTTTTTGAACTGTTTCTGCAAACTTTCCTGTGTCTCATCTTAGCATTCTGCATCTCGAAATAATTGGAGGATGGGCTTAATTATGACCTTCGCAGTCTAATTCCTGAATTTCGAAGACCTACATTATATATGAGGACTAGAACTTAATATAATTTTGCCAAAAGTTATACAGCGCAAATGCCTTCTGGAGGTCATAGGGTCAAACGGGGTCACAATGACCCATTGCCCCCCGCCGATACAGTCTACACGCAATCCCAACCCCCCTCAATACCCCCTAGAGAACCCCCACCTTTGCCATCAAGAGGAGGAAGTCGAGAGTGCCTTTTAGAAGATCCTGCAGCAACTGTTCCCGGGTCGGGTTCAAATGGAACAACGTCGGGTGCGACTCTAACCCCGCCTAAATTCGCCCCCGCTCCCAGGACTCCCCCCATTTTACCCCCACGGGAGAGAGACGGAGGAAGTCGCGATGGGTTAGATATGGTGGATGGTGATACTAGAGGAAGCAGACCCCTCCCCCCTCCCCCCAAACCTGAGGAGAGTATCCCGGCTCCCCTGCCAAGGGATAGAAGTCGCAGTAGATTGAACTCAGTGTCCAGGTTAGATCACTTCAATCTCATTTTAGGATTTATTCTCTTACCGTGATCTTCTGCTGTGTGTGTGATCTAAATTAAGTTTTTTTTTACAGTACCCAACGTTTTTATGGAAAGGTGCACACAAGAATTGCAGCAATTTCAACTAGCGCGAAAGCTCCTTGGCTCATACGGCTCTAAATAAAACCTGATTTAATGAATAAAGCTGAAGTTTTTTTGTATAGTGATTGAAAACGTTTGAGAACCAACTATAAAAGCGAGGCTGGCAACAGTTTTTCAATCTAGAAACTTTTAAAATTGGCCACATAAAGTTTATAATCGGCAAAACTTCGATACAATTTTTACTGTTCGAATTAACCTTTTTGAAACACCTTCGAAAATACTTATGTTCTTTAACCAACTATTAGTTTTGATTGTTTGGAGCAGCTCTAAATCAACCGACAACTTCAAACGTCTCTCTCAAAATGGACTCTCTGGTAGTGGAGATCAAATAGACGAAACAGACAACACTATTCGCAGGTGAGGTGTTCGTCCCAATTTTCTGAGCAACTGAATCAAAAAACAGATGTCAAAACGATTCAAGTTATGTTAAGCCATTTTTTAAGAACTGAAAAATTTCGAAGTTTCTGTTCTGAACTTAGAGTTGCTGACAAATATCAGACAAAGAATGAAGTAAATTTTTCAACAATTTGACAACTTGGTCTTTGTAGGTCTCTGGAATCCGGAAACAAGTCTTTAAACATGTTAAAATTTTGCCGAAACGATCAAAGAAAACGAACGAAGAAGTGAAGATCAAAGAGAGCGTCCTTGTTGCGAAATCCACTTACAATTCAGAGAATACACAAATTGGCCTCGAGTTTTTGAAGAAAAAAAAATGTTTCAGGCGTGACCACGACGCCCCAAATGGATTCGCACCACTGGACATTCTTCCTCCGACTAGGCCCAGAGTTCGCCACAGATCAACGCCAGGGGCAGCGGAACTTTCAGTAACCGGGTAAGACTTCACAGATTTTATGCGACTTCAAAATTCTGACGTCCTATAAGCTGCTATATCATGTCTATATGTAGTGTTTGATTTTTTACATGATTACCACCGAGAATTTAGTTTATTACAAAGAATTAGAAACTTGAGCCATTTTAAAAAACGTTTTGAACCAAGTTGTATTGCTTTTTTCTCAGATCCATTAATGACATTCCTTGCCACGACTGGGCATCGGTGGACAACTTCACAAACAACGTGGCCGATAGAAGAAGTGTCTTTGAGCCGAAAGCAGAACAGGCCGACAATTCCATCCCCACTTCGAACAGATCAAGTCCCATTGCGACTCTGCGTCCCCCCAGTGAGAGGCCATCGTCATGGCACGTTGGTCCGGGTGGGGGTCCACAGTTTAACAGAAGCAACGGAGTTGAACCCAAGTAATGTTTTCCTCTTAGTTATTACTACTGGTTAAATTCAACAACTTTTATTTTGGTTCTGCAAAATGCCCATTTTTTCGCGATTTAATGCAGTGAGATTGACCAAAGTGAAGTTATGCTTTAAATGGCTCCATCGCAATTATGGCTTTCGAGGTTATCGCAGCAATTTTTTTTTTCGCAGCAGTAAGTGCCAGGGAACGTTTTCCAAAAAAAATACCAATCCCCGGCATTTACACCATTTATTTTTTAATTTAGCAAATTTTTGTTACTGAAAAATTCATTGTATATTTTTTCAGCGCTCGCACCTCTCAAGACCCCGATAGATTCCTAGCTTCATACATGCGAAGTCTAGACAACAACAGGGATACTGCTACAGGCTCCAGATCATCGCTCAAGTCCTCCCTCAAAAACAGCAACAGGTCAGATTATAAACAATAATCTAACAATATTATAACAAGTTGAGTCCTGAACAATTGACGAGACGATTCCTGTTAAATATTTTTGCACTTTAGTGGTACCTTCTCAAGATTTTTTCATCCTAATGAAAGTTTTAATAAATGACATCATCGTCGATAAATCACATACAAGTTTACAGTTGGAATAAGTCGCCTTCTTATTTTTGCAATGGGGACGGCGGGAATAGTAAATAACACTCTATTCACTTGATTTTTTTCAACAGTTATATGTAAGGTTTGTTGTTACCGTGATTGTTCCTTAACATTACCGACCAGTTAGTTATTGCTCTTCAAGCGTTTTTTATTTGTTTTTCCTTCTTTTTGATATAAAATACATTGACTAAAGTGTCAGTATGAAAAGTTTTGAATAATAATTTAAGCAAATAATTTGAATCAATTTTGAAACAAAATTACACTGATGCCTTCGTCTTTCTATTCCTGGTTGGACACAAAAACGTCCAATTCCATAGGGAATGTCAGTTTGTTAACGATATTGTTTTTCATCATTGAGTTTGAGGAAAGTTATGTAATCTAAATTGCTCAATTACACGTCGGAATATTTTCATTAAGCAAAAAAAAACTGTCAAAAACCACTTGATCACCTTTATTGCCTACACTTAGTGATGAACTATATTTAGAAACAGTCGAGTGGAGGATGAAAACGAAGAGAGCAACGAAGACGAGTTCCCCACTCTGGTTCCCTCTTCTCGCCCTGGTCCAGACGAGAACATCTACACCATGCCCTCCATTCTGAGAAGAGACAGTCCTTCTATCTCTGACTCAGTCGATGTTCCCGATGTACCTAGAAAGTAGGATCACCTTAATCATGTTGTCACATCTTTTATTCATACAGTCTGACATCGCAGTTCCTTAAGCAACTACTTTTTGTGATAAGCAACTTTCTTGCAATCACTTTTTTTTTGCAGAAAAAAAAGCAGAAAAAAAATATTTTTTGAAAAAAAACTGAGTCGTTTTTGTGGCCATATTCTCAGTTAAAACCTCTTCGGAAATACACTTCTTGCTCGTGTTGTATGTTGAATGCAGTATTTTCAATAAACTAGCAACAAAAGTTGATGCACATTTTTGTTCCAACTTTCAAAGAATGTATGGATTATTTGCGCGGCTTTAGATTTTCTTCAGCCAAATATCGACTTTTGACCCAACGTTGCTTGATGGACTTTTCAGAACCGGTTGGGACCTTCTAATCTCCCCGTCTCAAAAGTGAAAGGACGTTTCATCTGAAAGCCTTTCTGAAACAAATGTTGGGTCAGAATCGATTCCGGATTAACTTGATGCAAGTCTATTATATAACCCAAATTATTCTGGAAACGACTCTGAAGTTTATCGATTTGTACTAAGATTGCATATCGAATGAACTTGTTCACAATTTTTTTTGAAACACTTTAAGATCTTTTTTTCCTTCATTCAAAACTCTATATAAAAGCATTTTTGCTCCGAAGCAAACTTTGTATTCGGGTGTGTTTAATTTTTTTCTTTTTTCGTTTTCCAGCCAAAATCAGCTATCAAAAACTATCATCGAGAGAGTTCAGTGGTATATCAAACAAAAAAGCCCTTCCAATCGTGATTCGAACGACAATAAAAATATTGAAAGTTTTTTCTCAGGATCGTGAAATTTTTGGTTTTCCGTCTTAATTTGAACGAATAATGTCGTAATTTTTCTAATAATTTTTTTTGGCTTGAAAGCAAACAATAATTTAATTTAAAACCTAAGAACTTAGTTTTACTCGAGAAACTTTAGTATTTTTTATAGTTTTATAGTGCTTTTTTGGGAATCAAAACTTAAAAAAGTAAAAAAAAAAACTGCAAAAAAATTGAACATATTTTCGAACATTAATTCTTTTTTTTTTTTCGTTTTTGTAGTCACTTTTTATAGAAAAATTGTTTTTCAGTTTGTCTATTTTACTATGACTTTCAAATTTGATTAATCTTAGTTTTTTTCAGATCTTTTTCTCACATCACACCAAAAAACTCTTTACTAATTAGCACAGTAACCGGCTATAATTGTTGTTCCGACCAATTGAAAAATGTGGAGGCACATTGTAATTGAGAGAAACCGGTTTAAAAATTTTGATTTTGTCTAATTTCGACCAAATATAGCAATTAACTTCAGTTTTCACACAAAGTGGAAGCTTTAGTTGGCACTTTCTAAAAAAAAAATTAAAAATTTTAGGTATAAAAAATAGAAAATTTTTTGAAATTTTTTTTTTGACATTTTTTTGTTTTTTGTTTTTTATTCTTTTTCGAACAACTGCTTTCAATCATGCCTAAATTACTAAAGTTTTACGCGTGAGTGAAGTCGTCTCATCACACCACGCACAAAAAAAACGACAGTAACTTGAAGAACTTATTAATTTTAAGAATTTTTACTTGTAGTTTTTTCTATGAACAAGGTAGGAACATTCTATGCTACTTGCACAGCAACCGGTCATCCTCGTTAAATTGATTGCAGACAAGGTAACTACGGATAACCACAGATAATACGTGCCCAATAAACAGAACTATATTTGAAATTCTTTTTCAGATTGTTTTGATTTCAAAAATAGTTTGGTAGTAGTAAGGTGAATAGGAATCACTCCAAGTTTACAATCGGCACAAAAAATTATGTTCCGAACAGCTGAATTTTCTGGTACCAATGAAAAACAAACGAAGTGTTAAAGTGGCTGAACTGTCTTGTACTAAACAAAATTTTAGGTTTCCACTAATTGCATAAACCTATACAAATTAACTTTTAAAATTTTAACCACGTTATTTATTCAAAAATAAAATTTTGTTTAAATACAGAATAGATTTGCGACAAAAAACGATAAACGTTTCTTGCGGGCCTTTTCATGCAAAGTTTCTATGTTAAAAACACTTGTAATATCTTTCATATAATATCTTCATATAACATCTTCAGATAAAATTTCTTTACCTATCTTGAAAATTGCGATAAATTACGATTTGAGCCTTAAGTTCAAGCACCCAAAAAATAAATATCGTGTTTACATACTTAATGTTTCGTTATGATTGGAGTCTGAATTGTTGCAAAAATAAGGGAATGTGATTTGGCAAATTTTGATTTAGAAAGGTGTTTTTTCGAATCCAAGTTTGAATCTAGCACAAGAGTTTGTCAAAATGTGTTCGAATTTTTTTGGTTTTAAAGCAAAAATCATTTCACAGTTTTCTTGGAACTAAATTACACGACACGCTTTTTTACTTAGTCTAGAATTGTATAATAGCCGAAAAAAATTCACTGGTTTAACACAAGCTGACAACAGAGCAAAAACTTGATATATGAAATTATAATCCAAGAATTCTTCAATATTGACCAATTTTCAAAAAAGAGTTGCAAATTAAAATAAGTTTTCAACATTTTATTGCATTGACGAAACTTTATTAATCGGATTAAACTATATTTATTAATCGTTTTTTTTCAGAAATTTTTTTGACAGCCTCTGAACAATTCAAAAACTTTGATTTAAAATTAATTGAAGAAAGGAAAATTTTTTTTATTCTTATAAATCATTTAGTATTAGTAACTGAAAACAAAAAATCTTGTTCTGAGTTGTTTGTTTTGAAATTAGAGTTTTTAATTTTTAATCGAAACAAATTTCTACCTATTCTTTCAATTGGAATGAAAAAAAAAGGTTAAAAAACAGCAAAAAAAAGTTATATGAAAAAATCAGACACATTTTATTTGAAATGTTTTTCTTTTAATGATAATGAAAAAGCTGTAAGATAATTTCTTTCCAACTATTTCAGGTTTTTTACCGTTTAAATATAAACTGATCGTGATTGTGCTTTTGTGTTCAGGCGCATTCTGAAGACACGCCACCCTTCTGATGGTGGGAGTGATGAGTACAATGTGCGGAAGGTGAACACAGGGAAAGTTACCAAGAAGAGAGTGCGACACAGTTCCACTCCCCAGGCACTCAACCCTCCCAGGTACAGTGAGCCGACAGATCAATTAGCCGAATAAAAATTGAAGTTTAAAGGCGCGAATACTTAGCCGATTTAAATCTGAGTTTTAAAGCTACGAAGGTCCAAAGAATCTGAATCTGAGTCCACGCTGAAGCGAATAGAAAAATCTCTAACCCCTTACCCTAATGCGGGTTGTGACCTTTTTCCAATACCAGCAAACAACTAGGGCAAAATGTGGATTTTATGCTGCTGAGTTTTCGTCAGTAATCGCTCAACACCAATAGCGAATTTAGAAGGGGGTGAAAAAACGCATTTTTTTGTTTAAAATTTGCCGAAAAGCACCTAAAACGCCTTTGTTGGCCTTTTTTTTCAAAAAAACACCTGCGGAGCAGAAAATTTGGCCAAAATAGTTATTTTCAGTGATTGATGAGAGCTAAAAAATCAATTTTGACTGCCTAAAAAGAGGTCATTGGTAAATGCCGCCATATTTTAGCACCCATAATTGCAATAGTTTTTATTTGGTTGTGTTTTTGAACTTGTGACTGTTTCAGTTGTTTATTTTGTGTTAGCATTTATTCTGATGAAATTTATTCTGTGAGGTAACGAGCTTGACAATACCGTGCATGTCAAATTAAAAAGAACTCATGATTGCCTAAATTGGGTTAAAACTGCAACTACTGCTAATAGCTGAAGTTCAAGACAATACATTATTGAAATCACAACGGCGATTGATTTGCTTATTAGCGGCAATTGATTCGAGCTTATTGTTCCGACCACGAAATGAGAAGTTGCTCATATTTCAGGGAAAAGCAGCAACGACAAAGAAACGTGATAAAATGAAGGAGTTATTGGAAATTTTCAGTCGCGATTCTAATTTTTGGAAATTTTCAGTCGCGATTCGTCCAAAATTTAAAAAAAAAACCGGTTCGAAAAGTTTGCTTTCAGAACAACTTAGAAATAACACCATACCTTTAAAAATAAAAACACCCTGAATAACAAACAGTTCTATTTTTTTTTGAACAAAGCTCTGTTTTCAATTTTTAGTGTAGAAAAGATTTTTTATAAATGCTTTTTCTGCACCTCAAAAAGCTTTCATGTAAATTTTAAATAATAAGCCAAACATTTTGGGAATAGTAACACAGCGTCTTCAAAAGCAAATACACATTCATCGTACATGGCTGCTTTGATTAGCACGTTATTTTCAAACTTTAAACTAGCTTAATTCAAAAATGATTAGTTCTGTTTTTTTTCAGTCCTCAGAAACTACCAGTGCCGCCTCGCGGTATGAAATCAGCCGCTGAACTTCAAGGCAGTCTGCGCATACTTTCTCTTCTCAAAGCGAACAACGAAGCCAACTCGAGAAGAAGTTCAATCTCAGCTCTCAGTCAAGAAGGGACCACCGAGGGGGGAGGAGGGGTTACTGTGAGTGGGGGTTCAATGAGGAGCTCCAACAGTTTAATGCCAATTGCTCAGGATGACGAAATGGATGAAGATGATGACGATACTAGGTAATGTAGTAAATGTACTTCTTTAAGAATGAGAGTTGAATTATAAAGGACTTAAATTGCGGAAAATTTGATAATTTGATGTTAATGGTTTGGTGTGAAGTTGTAGGAAACCGCCAAGATTAGTTTGTATGGACTAAAACTCAGCTGTCAAAAATCCCAAAGTATGGAATAGAGTCTGAGATCTATGGAATAGGTTCGGGTATCCATTTAGATTAAGCTCAAAATATCAACTTTGTTCAAAAAATAATAACACTTTTATGGTGCTTCCCGGCAGGCTGATGCCTTTTGGTATTCTCCCAGCCGAAGTAAATTGTAAACTTTCAATTTCATACAAGCTTTGCTGAAAAATTTCTGGCTTGAAAAAAAAAACTATTTTTATGATTATTATAATTATTATGATTATTATTAGGATGATGATTATTATTATGATGATTATTGTAGTGAGCAAGTATCTGAAATGACAGAAATAGAACCAGAAGCAATGGGCAAACAGGACAAAAAAGACAAGCACGACAGCAACAATGAAAAGAGCACAAGCGAATTACCCTCTGCAACTGCTGATGGGCAAACGAAAGAGAGAAGTCGGAATAAGAATAAGAAGAAGCCGAGGAGTAGACTGAACAGTGCGAAGGAGTTGAGATTCGGAGAGATGCAGCAGGTCGAGATACACTAGTGAGTTCAGTTTAGTTGAAATCGAAGTTGAGTTCAGTTGAGTTGAAGTCGAAATACACCCGAGTTAGTGCAATAAAAATTCTTACAAAAATATTTAATCTCGTAATTAAAAAATATGGATCCAAAATTTGCAAACTTCTTGCATCCTGTCACCAAGATTCAAAATTTTATGAGATCTTTTGTTCAAAAAATATACGGGATTTCAAATTCCGATTTGGAGTTATAAGATTTGAATAAATCTGTTAAGAATCTCAAACAAGCTGAGCAACTACAAAACAATTTTCACCAAAACAAAATTCAAATCTTGATGTTACTGATTTTTTTTTCGTGTAAAATAATTTATTTTTCTTCCCATGTATATTCAGACCCCAAAAATAAATTTCAAATTTGATTAATTGAGATTAAAAAACTGAAGTCTATTAAAATATTGTTCAAGTTGCAAACAAAAAACTTTCGAGAAGTTGTTCAGTGTCAAGAATAAAAAACTTCTAGATTTTTAACTAGTAAAACTATAGTCAAAAGCTAGCTAGTTAAAAGCAAAGAATGGATGAGCCACTCTTTACTCTCATTCAAACTTAATTGATGAGACTGGCCAAACAAATTTTTTTTGATTAACTTCAGCTTCTAGGAATGCTTGGAAAAAACCAACCTCCACGATTAAAGTTTTCAAGCTAATCCTTAAAAATTGTTTCGTTTTTTTTTTGTTAAAAATTTCCATTGGCGGACATGATTGCGGACTAAATTGCTTTTAAGTTGTTGAATTCTTAATATTTACAGCGGAAGTTTTGGTCTCTATGCTTCGACAACTTCCTTCATCATGGACCTAGAAGTCGGCTATGGCTACAAGGCCACAACAGGGGGTGTCAAGACCATGACTGCTCCCACTGAACTCCAACAAGAATCAATTTTAAAAGTATCCCCATCCAAAGCAACAGCTAAGAACAACAAGAAAAAAAGTCCGGCTAAAAAACGGGGAAGCGTCTCTGGAAAATCAGAAGCGGGATCACAAGGTGGTTCCAGTTCTAAAAGAAGACCTGGATCTGGATCCTGGCATTTAAGGAGGTCCAGTAGGGATAAAAACGAGGAGAGTGGCAACAAGAAAAAGAAGGAAAAACAAAGAAAGACGTCAAACTCAAGCAAAGATAAAATGTAAATAAGCATATCTCGTAAACAGGTGATAGAAACTCCCTAGTATTGAGTAAATACATGTTTCGTGGCACTTTTTTCGAGCAAACTTTCAATGAGAGCAAGAAAAATTCACATTTTTACAAAAATTCTGCCGTGCATTAGTTTTCACAATTCTAAGAAACATTAAGCGACCACTATTAGGAGTGCCAGAACCTTTAATCGTTTCCTTTCCGCTTCTCTGGCCTAGAAAAGCATCACAAGTTTATCTTAATAGGAAAAAATCTCAGTCGAATGATTCAATACACTCAATACCCGATGTTGTCGACAGTGCGATCTCGACAAATGACAACAAAAACGACATTAATGACCCTGCTAAAGATGACGACGCGGATAGTGTGAGTGTCGGATTCGCGAGTCTGAGACGGAGACCCGAGTCGTGGCGTGTGAGTCTCCAGGAGCTGAATGCAGTTGTCGCATTCAGCGGAGATGGCGATGATGATCCACCGCCTGGCGGAAGGTCAGTTTCGATTCCCGGCTCGTTTCTCTTTTTCTTCTACTCTAGTTATTCTTAGCTTTGTACTATATTTGCGTCATTTTGACTGGCCGCGTGTATTGAAAGCAAGTTAAGAAAAAAGATTAGTTTTTTTTTCTCGCGAATGTTCGCCAAGTGGGTTAATACGTTCACTATGCTAAGTTTGCTATGATGTGAAAATGCTATCTGTGTTTCAGTTCTGAAGTTGAGTTTGGTTCAAATATCGAAAAATGCCAAAAAAAAATTGAGAAGTGTTCAAATGGCGCCTGCACTTTTTTATTTGCGATTTTTGAAAGCAACGTTTTGAATGCAGAAAAAATCTAATGGAGAAAGCATTTCTAATAGGTTGTTCACCATTTTTGATTCAGCCCTTTAGAACCGATAACGATTCACTTCAAGTAAAATAAAACTGAAGCAACTATAAAAGTAAACCTAAACACCGATAAAATATTGAGAAACCAAAAAAAAAAACAAATTAAGATTAAGACCACGGGTTTAAGAACTACATGCAATGTTATTGGTTTTTTTTCTGGGCTGGGTAATGTTGCTTCACCTTCAAGCAACGAGCACAGATCATGGTGGGCCTCGACATCCGACCTTTCGATTGAGAGGCGGAGACGTCACCACTTCACCACCGCTGCCATGTATTTCACTGTAACGTCAGCATTGACAGTAAAAGAGAGCGTCTGTTTCTGCCACGGGTTTTACTATAGACGCATGCCCATTTCGATGCTTTCTGCGATACCACTGTTGAAAAAACCAAAATCGATACTAAATCAATCTTTGTAAATCAGGTTACATTAATTTTTACAAAATTGGTTTCAGCCGGTGTTCCAATCGCAGTTCGTGGGCTGGTGGAGAAACCAGTGGGTCTGACGATGAGCTCCTTAGCCAGAGGACCAGAAGTGTGCTGACTCTGGTGGAGGAGTTCAACAGCAAAGTGCCAGAACTTCCAGAGAACAGCCAGGGGTGTAGACGCAATAAAACAAAGGAAGTTTTGGAGAACTTTTTTTTTAGAAATTTACTACTGAGAAAAACTGTCTCCTGAAAAAATAAAAAAAACTTCGAACGTAAAAGTAGTTTATATTATACTAGTTATTATAATCTTATAGCAGTTTTAATTGCCACAAAGTCTACAAAAAAGTATCTACTCGTCGGTGTAATTTGCTATCTGAACTAGCTCATTTCATAAATCAAAATTATTCTGAAACACACCGGGGGTATAAACTACAAATCGAGCGTTTAACGATAAAAAATACAGTATAATTATAAAAAGAGCCGAATTGTTTTTAAATAATGAACTTTTTTCTACACCCTTGCTACTTCAATGGAACAGAAACACGTTCCCTGGTTCATCCGCTTCGCCGCTTCACCCATCATGGCCTTTGCGTTTGGACCTCTGTTTGGGATATTAGTGTACGCTCTGTTAGCCTGGCTCGTCTTAAGTGGACTTCCATTGGCTGCTCTGTTCCAACAGGGACAAGGCAGTCCGTGGACTGACACTGCAGTTACGTGAGTTGCTGTTACGTAATACAGTGACAAATTATGTAATGAAAGACATTGATTCAAAAACCTTACGTTGTGTACGGATTTTGAAAGACAGAGATCGTCAAAGTCTTTGAAATACCACAACAGAAGATTCCGTTTTGGTTTAAGTTGAACTCAAATTACTTCACAGCTAAAGCGTATCGGTGAAACCAACTTAAAAAAATTTCATGTGGTTTCTTTAAATGCATATTATCTTTTTCTTAACGCGGTTAATCGCTAAGCCATAGAATTGTATGCTTTTTTTTTAATTTAAAGTTTTGATAAATTTAGGGGTTTATGGAGTCTACAATCATTGTTGCTTCAGAACACTTTTATTTCCAGGTTTTTTGTATTTAAGTGCCAAATTATCGACAACGGCAGTATCAATGACCTTGAGCCTCTTAAACGGTCATAAACGGTTGCTTTCGTTTAACTCCATTTTTATAACGTTTTAACGCGCTTACTTGACTGAAAAAGTGATTTTAGACATCAAAAAGACCAGTTTTAGGTAAATAAATCTCGTTCAAATTCGCTGACCGAAAGGGATATTTTGGGATTCGCTATATTTTCAGCCAAGCCATCAGCGGAGGTGTGGGCTGTTGTGCTGGTGTGTTTCTGACCATAGGGGGCCACTACTCCTCCCGAGTGAGGGCCACAATGGTGCTTCTAGTGCCCACTCTGCTGTCCAAGAGAGGCAGGGCATTCATGATCACATCTGCGTTCGCCATTCTCCTAACAGGGCCAGTTCACACCATTGAGATGAACATACAGGAGGTTCGTAGACAGTAGTCATCATCGTCAGTGACAGCTTTTTGATAGATATGTCTCGAAAAGATACAGGAAGCGCCAGTTTTTGTTCTAGTGGCACAAAATTTTTGCCTTAACGACGCGAGACAAAACAAAGTGGAAACAAGGATAACCGGTTACTGTGCAGTTAGCACAGAATGTTCCGACCATAGCCTTTAGAAATACCACAAAATTTTTTCAAATTGTCGTTGTTTTGTTTTTCGGCGTCATGTGATAAAAAAGATTTGAACAAAACAAAATTGGTGACTTGGTACATTCGACAATAATAGTAAAATAAGCAAAATTTAAAACAATTTTTGTAGAAAAATTACTAGAAAAACAAAAAAAAATAAAAAAGCATTTCGAACAATTTGAAAAACTTTGTTCCTCGATAAAAGTTTAAATATGATATATCACTCAATCAAGTACGATAATTATTTGTGGTGCCTGATTTTGCGTCAAAAACAAAAAGAAAAAAAAATAACTAAAACACATCCAAATACAAAGTTCCTCCCCAAAGTATAACAAAGTATAACAATGGATTTGAATTTATTTTCAAAAATAGTTGAATAGTTTTACCATGCTAGTAGAGCTCGCCATAAAGTGGCAATTCAACTTTTAAATCAAACTTACCCCCCCCTTAATGACCAATTGAGCTATTCCCCCGAAGCAAAAACAGTAAAACGCTACAAAAAGACGTCAGCAAGCGCAAGAAGATGGTTTGATGTGCTCGTAGCACGCGATGAATTGACCGTCTGAATTTTTCATTATATGAGTATCGGGAAAAAATTGAAAAAGAAAAAATCGAAAATTATTTAGAAATTGTTTTTTTTTGCAATCTTTTGTTTTGGTGACAATTGCCTCATCGAGGAAAGCGAATTGCCAGGGTTGGTGCTATAGCCTTATATCTAAATATCAAAAATTTTTCTCAGCAGCTCAATAAAATTACGCAATAACTTTTTCCCATTTAGGACAGAACGCGTTCCACTATCGTTGAAGAATCTGGTTTATGATTTCATACCATTCAAACCATTTTGAGTTTTTATAAACATGTCTCAAGTACCTATTAATACCCGTGAGAATGGGGGGAGATTGCTCAATGGCTCCAAAACGTGATGTTTTTTTTGGGCTTAAAAAAAATTTGAATTTTGTTTAGGTTTTAAACCTTGAGAAATGAATTCTTTCTTTCTTTCACTCTTTCATTCTTTAATTCTTTCTTTCGTTCTATGGCAGATTTTTTTTTAATTTTTTATACTGATTGTTTGTTAATTACAGGTAGTTGATAGCTTGACCTGTCTGTATGAGCAGATGCGAGACATGGCCGAAGGGTTTGTGGAGCAGGCGAAGGAGAACTTCGAGCAGATCAACGAAACTATGCGACAAGTGAACGAAGCAATAGCCGAATACCAGAGGGAGATGAAGGAACTGCAGCAACAGTCTTCGGATGCAGTTCAGAAGGAGCTGGAAGCACTACAGGTCAAATGATACAACAATTGATACAAAAAGACTAAAGCTTTTTATAAAAAAAAAACAATTTGACCTTACAATACCACAGGCCAACGATTTAAAAAAATGCTATCAGCTTTCGCATTTGAAGTGGTATATTGAGCGAGGAAAAGTAAAGCTCAGTAAATAAAATTTCAAAGAGCTTACAAAAAGCTTTGATAGAAAATAATTACAATTGTACAAAAAAAATTAGAATCATTCAAAATATAGCATCAAAAAGCCAATGGGCTGGATATTTTCCATATATACAAGAATTTATTGCGATTTTATGCTTACCATCCACTCAACAATGCTTTTTTTCTACTTTTCAGTTTTTGAAGTACAGTGAAAGTTGTCAACAAAATAAAAATAAAAACTTCAAGGTTCATCTTCGGTATCATAACAGTTATCATTTGACCGATTGATAGAAAAAAATGGAAATGTATCAGCAAAAACTATCCAAAGTGAAATCATTCATGGCTAAAACGAGTTCAGTTTGCGATTCGGTTGTAGCCGCCACCACCTTTGGATTCGTGGAAAATTGCGGCACGCCAGTAGTTCCAGATATGCCAAACATCAATCTGACCTTCAACCTGGACGGGTCATTTTCATTCGCAGATCCAACTCAGCTAGTCGACATTGACATAAAAGCAGAAGCTGGCGAATTAAGAGCGACGCCTATAACCGAAATTAGAGAAAATCTCAAAAATATTCTTCGAAATGTTTTCAAAACCATTGAAAAATACTTTAAATATATTTCCAAAATTTGTTATCTTTCAGTGTTTTTCATGGTCGCAGACGCGTTTCACTACATGTATAAGTACTACACCGACGATTCTTTCGATAACATGTTTGTGGATCAGAACTTGAAAAATTATGCTGGTTTGCAAGGCGAAGCTGGAAAAACTTTGTTACCTTTACGAAACTGGGAGCTGCTTGAACGGTATCAAGTTCAAACGGCCGTCAAACTTTCGAAAAAAGAATACAAACGAATTTTCATGCAATCGGCGACGACGATAGTGTTCACCCTTTTCGCGATCGGCGTGGTCGTTTCTGATATAGTTTTGCGTGCCGTCTTAGAAGTTTTCAGGTCGGAGGCGAAATTTGGTCTGGAATATGATGGTATGGAACAAGGCTTGTCACTGTCAACTTTGGGTAAACAATCGCCGGAAGAACAAATGAACATCACATTTCGGATGTACGATTTATCCTCCGAACCCTGTTTGCCCGATCCTCAAAAATCAGACTATACCCGAATGTTCGCAATAGCCGCGTTAGTTACCATGTGTTTGCTGTCTTGTATTTTCGACGCATACGCTACTCGGCTTAGATCGACAGTTTGTAATACTTGTTTTCCGAAACGAGCAGCCGAGCGAGCTGCTTTTCTCTATCGTCGAATTACGACTGGCAGGGGAACTAGACGACTGCAACTTCAAATGATTGCTTACCGAAGATTGGTTCGAAAGTACAGAGAAGCTGAATTTTTCAATTTCAGACGAAAAGTGAAAGCAAAAACAAAACTAACTGATGGGAGGTCAAAAACATCGCAATGTGTCGGCTGTACGCTTGTAATTAATAAAAGCGAGGGAACTAAATTCCCATTGAAGTTTTTGGGAGAAAATGCGACAGTTTATATTTGTAGCGACTGTAAAAAAGATACAAATTTGAAATAAAGTGAGCTGGAGTTTTTTTTAGATAACTCGAAAAAGTAATTTGAAAAAATATTTTATTTTGCAGTTTGACTGGTTTGTTTTTCCGATTTCCGCGCAAGAACTTATATCGTCAAAGCGATATTTGAAGAAAAAAAACGGCTATACAGTTAAGGCCAGCAATGGTTTTCTTTAATAAGTACCGAAGGTGGACTCATAGGAACAATTTCTTTGTGACCAAAATTAAGGGGAGAGTTGTACTTAATCAATCAGCCCTCCTCACTTTCAACCTTCTGCATGCTTCTGGTCGTGAAAGGGAAATTTGCTTCCAATATCTTAATTTCTATGGTTATTTTTATGAATTCGTTCTACAGAAAATGAAAACTTGTGTTCTTTTTTCATTTTAGCTAAAACCTATATCAAGTTTAAAAACTATTCAAAAATCTGGATTAAAACGGAAAGGGACCAAAAATGTTTTAGTAGTAATCGACTAGTCTTCTATATAGTCAGTTTCTAGAAATACGCAAAACATTACATTATTTTCCATCATACATGAATTAGTTTTTTGACAAAAAACTGTGGCCCTTCGAATGAATCTAAGAGATTGCAATCAGTTCTAATAACTGTTTTGAGGTTTTGTTCCGACCATTGAAAATGGGGAGAAACTTTGTATTTCTGAGAGTTTTTTTCTTTTTTTGTGTTTTCTATGCAAAATCAGTTACTAAAAATAATAATCGGAATGGGTCGAGTGATAAATTTCAATAAAGTCCTCACAATCGTGATTCGAACATTGGAAAAGTTTTTCTGGATGGTTGTTGTATATTCGAGCAAAAAAAGTTCAGGGCTTTCGTCGGATAATTTTTATTACACCACGAATGAGAATTGACACTATTTCGAAAAGAAAAGAATTTTTTTAGAGCGCCTCCAGTATAGGACTATCTATGATACTGAAAAGTGGTGACCGGCAAACTTTGTCCTACAGTCTCACACAAATTCAAAATTTTGTAATCGTTAGAGCTTGAACTATCTTAAAACAGTTTTTTTTAAATAGCAAACTCTATTAAAAACTTTAAAAGAACGACCAAGGACAAGGAAAATAACTGAAATTAGCAAAATTTAAAACTAAGATGGAAAGAAAACTGTGATGAGGCGACTTTTGGTACTCATTTAATTCATTGTCTTTTGCAACCATGCAGCTGATTTATATACCAGTTGGTTCAAGGTCACCGGTTTGGCCTTATCGAGTGAAACACTGCGTGTGATCACTCTTATGCGTAGACACATCGTTTGCTAGATGTAAATTTATTCAAACCTTATATTAACTGTTTCTCTTAGTCAGAGCTTGACTAACAATTATCTAAATTGAAACCAAGAATCAAATAACTAATCAAGCAATTCAACATTACGAACAACCAAGTTTTGTCCTTTAAATCTCGGCAAATGTCATGGCACAGCCAGCAGTTCCTGTGAATGAAGACAGGACTGACCTGTTAGGTAATCCCCCTTTTTGGGCAAAACCTTCGATCAACCCGCCGTTCCTTTGGGAATCTTGGATTGGACGATTCTTCCTGGCAGTTGGGCTGAAAGATAATATAAATCCTCAGGATTTAATAGCAGAACCCGCGGAGGTCATTGACGAACCTCCTCCGAGAACTGAGGCTGTAGGTGCAACGGAAGACGCTGCGGAGGCCAATGCCCGTGTCCTCAAAGATCAGGCAGCAGTTCGTCGAGTTAATGAGTTGAATATTGAGCGCAGACGGAGAGGCCCTAGGATAGGCCTGAACTGGTTCTATCACGAAGCCGAGGCCCGACTGAAGTCACGATTGTTTTTCGCTTTGGGAAACAAAGGGAAACGACGTTTCGCAGACTCCTATCCGCATACAGACATCAGTGTTACCCCTTTTCGTGATTTTCATGATGCTTGCGAAACTCTATTCAAAATAGAACGTGATTATACTGTTGAGCGTATCAAACTGTATAACACTATCTTCATGTTGGAAAACGATACTTTTTCTTCATTTTACGCTCGCCTCAGTGCTCAGATAGCCTTGTGTAATTGGCCCCATGCTCAAGAGAGTGAAAGTCTAAAAGTTCTTTTCATAGGACGAATCTGTGATGTGGATGTTCAACAGCAATTGATTAAGGCAAAAGCAGATTTGGATGATACTTTTAAACTCGCTTTGGAGTGTGAAAAAGGGGCTAGTAATGTTTGTATGTATACTAGTCATTTTAATTTTTCTTGAAAAAAGTCCGGGCCTTCCCTCATTCGTTTTCAACTAAAAATCATTTGATCCAATCAATTTTTTTGATTAAAACTGATAGGGAGGACTAAATAATGCACATTTTGAGGTTCCCAGGTTTGATAAAAATATATATTATTTTATAGTTGAAAATTTGTTTTTTTTCGCGTTTTTTCAAAACAAAATCAAAGAAGTTCCAGCGAACTTTCTTAGAATTTTTGTAAAATTTTCTTAATTTTTCAATTTTTCAAATTTTTTTCTCATTTTCTGAGATTGACAGTTCTCAAAAAATTTTTGATAATATCGAAAATACCTAAATAATATTTTTTTTCAGATCCATTCATCACATCATAAAAAAAACTATAGAATGTTTTCTTATTACATTTTTATACTGCTATTAGAACTTACCGTGCAATTTGTACAACAACCTGCTATCCTTATTTCATTAATTTTCTTTACTGGTTATCAATTTTTATAAAATTATGTTTCTACAGATATAAATCTGTGTGCACTTCTTTAATCGAATTACACAGAACCGTTTCTAAATTCCAAAAACGTTTTTTAAAGTCTCTCAAACAGACAATAAGGATAATTAAAACGATGAAAATACCCAATTTGCAACTTTCAAACAAGCTCAAGAAAGTTTCTCTAAATTGCGTGAAGTCCTGTTTGATTTTAAAAAACATCTCATGAAGCCCACCCACAGCGCCTCAAGCGACAAATCAACAATTTTTACGTTTTCATCAAAAATTCAAAGGATAGGTTTTTGAGAGGTTTTTTTTCAGGGTACATGTTTGTTTTAATTTACAAATGGCGATTGATTCTGGAACCTGATCTAAACTACATTTTATGATTGGATAAATTAGATATTTTACCACTGAAAAGTATTTAATATTAACCAATCATGATCCATCTAACTAACAATCCACTTATTTGTAAGTGCTGAAATTACTTGTAATTTCAGCACCAGAGAGATTTGAATTTAACTTAGAAGTTAGTTGAACTCTCCCGAGTACTTCAGCAGCCGCAATAAACCAGTATACCCTAGATCTATTGAGCCTAGCAGAGACTAGTTAAACAACCTGAGACTAGATAGTATAAGAGTAAGATTAGGATCGGTATTAGACTAAGAAGTTGCACGAATCTATCCGGCCGAAAATAAGATAGCGTGACGAGCAGACGGTGTATCCTATCCGAAATTACTCTATGAGTTATACACTTCGGTCATAACTCATCTGGTGCGACCATAAGTCTCGAACAAGACCTTAATAGCTTAGAATTAACCAATAATAGATTAGAATTTAGACAAAACATTTACAAAATGTTATACGACAATAATTTAATCGAAATGTCTCTACGACTACTCAATAGATCAGAGCCAATATTCCGAACGATAACAGAACTACCCGGAATTGGAAGAAGACCTCGAACCAGAGACGACATACGACAAAGCAGAAACTTACCATATAGTTATATGATAGTTCGGCAAAAGCCAGAACAAACTTTTGTATTTAGAATACTACTAGCAATGAATTTAGATTTTCATTTGCAAACATAAAATTTTGAAGTCAATCTTCAAAATCATTTCAGGCGCTAAACAAAATTATTAATATACAATAACGATTGATAAAAAGATCTCAGATCGTTTTCCTAAATTCTGCAGTAATATACAAAACATGTTTGAAAAATATTTATTGAAAAATCAAAATAAAAATTAGTAGCATGACAATAAATGGTTAGTAATTATAAATCATCCTGTTGTTCCAGCTTCATCACCTAAACATAACAGCATTCATAAGCTCACTAAAATCATAAAAATACTAAATCTTTTCCTTACACAAATTTAAATCATTTTAAAACTTAAATTCACTTAATTTTAAAATCAGATCATCAAGGCTTATCCTTGGATCTTAAATCATTTTCTATTTAATTAAATTTAAAACTTGATCATCAAGGCCTATCCTTGGATAAAAAAGAACAACTTTGTTCTCCCCCACCCATTTAACTAGTGTCTAACGACCTCAAACGTCGATTCACTATCCAACCCTTTCTAAAAACCCAGGACTAATAGAAGTTTTTGAACAAAACTAATCATTCAAATTAGGATAAACAGTGAAGAACTTCGGTTATTCATCCTTCACTTGATCCCCCCTCTTACCAGACCCAGGATAAATCTTAGACTTAGTAAGTTTAAAATAGTATCTAACGAACTACTCGCGTTCTAATTATACCTGAACCTTGTGGATCGATTTACTATTCTCCAACCCTGAACACAATCACTACCCTTAAGTAAGATTAAGTAAGTTAACACCTTAGCTTATACTAGCCACGAGAAAGTATAAAATCATTCTTCGGAATCGATATACTTTTCTCCCCAACCCTGAACAAATAGACCCAGGTTAGGCTAACAAAAAAATCGTAAGGACTAACAGTTTAAGCAAAAAGAAATCATTTAACAACCTTTTGCACCCGTCATCCTAAACCTTATGTCATTTAAAAACCTAGGAAATAAACAAACAATCGTTTTACACAATTGTGAAATAGATAACAAAAAATACGACCTTGTAATCACACCTCATACACAAACAGTTGGATACATTCGAACAAAACGACAAACACTAAAGAGAAAAATAATAACTAAACAAAGACAAATTACACGAAAAAGATTTTTCAAAAACCGCAACGCATTTTCAGAATCAGAAACCAACAGTTTAGACGAACTTTATAAACTAAAAGAATCAATAGATAAAAATTGCCCAATTCACGATCAATTATATTTCTCTGACTCAG